TCAGTAAAAATAAATTTATTGATTCCATGAATTTTTGCACTTTTGTGTTCCTTTTTCGATTTCTGGTTTCTGGCTTTTTCACGATTTCTATTTTTTTTTTAATATTTCCAATACCGAAAAAATTAACTGAACTCTCAAGAAAAACGAAAAATTCATATAAAACGACGGACGAGAAATGGAAAAGAAATTTTCTTCTACCAAAATTTCTTAAATCAGTTTGCAGCTCTCAAGAAAAAAATGCTCGTATATTTATTTCCTCATGAAAATTTACAGCAAAAGCAAAGCGCTTTTTCAAGCAACAGAAATTATAATAAATATTTCTTATAATTTCCTTGAGAGCTGGATTCTTTGCTTTAAGATACAGTTTGTATATGAGGTTATTTGCTTTAGGGGGGGTTTGAACCCCAAAACCCACCCCTTGTGTGCGCTAATGGGCACTGCTATTTAAAATATCTTTTGTATCCCGCTGAGGAATTCCCAACCCTTAAAGCCCTCCTTGGTAAACGACTTCCTAATTCTAAATGGATTGACAGTGGTAAAAAAAAACTTATCATATGCACCGAGGCCTCATAATCTCCAAGACAAAGTCGGTATCCCGCCTTTGTGGACAGAACCATGCAAATTAAAATGGTGATGATATATGGATATATACATATATGTATATAGATACCCAGCGAGTAAACATATGTTTTTTATAGCGAAAGGTGGCAGATCTCTTACATAAATACATATTTTTTTTAAAGTTTCATTTAATTTTTAGAAACTGGTTCTATTTTTTTGTTTATTGTTTTAAAAAGCAAAATATTTTTATTCTATTTCTTAAAATTTTTACAAACGTATATTATTTTTTAACCGACTTCACAAAAAGTATATTACCGCATATCTTTGGACCACGTTAACCGATTTCTATAATTCTTTGTTTTAAAGGAAAGGTGTTACCTCACATGAAGAAATTAGCGATAATCTTAAATTTTTATATCAGATTGGAAGGCAGTTTTGTTTTTTATTCAAAAATTACTTGTTTCTATTGCTGATTNTATGTATATAGATACCCAGCGAGTAAACATATGTTTTTTATAGCGAAAGGTCTCTTACATAAATACATATTTTTTTTTTAAATTTTCATTTAATTTTTAGAAACTGGTTCTATTTTTTTTTGTTTATTGTTTTAAAAAGCAAAATATTTTTATTCTATTTCTTTAAATTTTTACAAACGTATATTACTTTTTAACCGACTTCACAAAAAGTATATTACCGCATATCTTTGGACCACGTTAACCGATTTCTATAGTTTTTTGTTTTAAAGGAAAGGTGTTACCTCACATGAAGAAATTAGCGATAATCTTAAATTTTTATATGAGATTTGAAGGCAGTTTTGTTTTTTATTCAAAAATTACTTGTTTCTATTGCTGATTAAATATTTTTCCAATTAAATTTTCTATTTGGTTTTATATTTTATTTTTTTAAAAAGAAAAATATATACATATTAATTTAATTAAAATTTAAAGATCTTATTTTATAAATTTTATTTTATCGTTTTTGTCTTTTTTAAACTTTATATTCTTTAAATTTTTAGAAAGGAAAAAATATTTTTTTTTGATATCACTTTAATTTTAAAAATATTTTTACTAAGTTTTGCTTTATTTTTATTTTATTTATTAGTTTTTATTGCTTTAAAAAATAAAAACAAATATATGTTTTTTTTAATTGGATCTATGTAATAAAAAAAAAAATTGCATAACGCTAAGACCTCCTCAATTGTCTTTCGAAAGACAGTAAAGAGCTTTCAAAAGCGTTACCAGAGTTGACAATTCGTCGCCTGGGTAAAAGCTGTCGTATGCTATTTTTGAGAAGTTTGGGAAATCCCGATTAAAGTTTGGAATGCAATTTCTCAATAACGCGAAGATAGATTTTCCCAAAAGTCTCGGAGAATATTATCTACTAGTTCACAAAATTCTTAAATTATTTAATTTTAGTTGTTCATTGTTAATTAGCTTTGAGTTCATGAAGGATTTGTTTTAGCAACATTTTTTTGTATGCGCCATATGTCAACAATTTGTCAGCCAAAATACGACAAAATGTGATACCAATTTGTACTGAAGTAAGGATACTTTTTACTCAATATCTCGGAAACTAAAAGAGATATCCAAAAATTGATAACACCAATCGAGAGATCATATTTTAATATATGTGACTCCAAATATAACTAAAAATCAACAAAAAGGCGCTTACGACATTTTTTTTATTAAGGCCACGAATTGCATTACGAAGCAATTTTCACTTTCGAAAGACTGTGCTGAGTTTAAAGACAGTTGCAAGAATTGCCCTGTTAATACTGACAGTATGAGATAACTGTGTGGTATACTTTTAGGCACAGCAGCAATTTTTTTAGAGACTAGGGCTGCTAGAAATTGTTTTCGAATTTCCTATTTAGATAGCGCCTAAAATTATGCAATAATTGACACTTGTGATTCTTCTCGAGATATACATATGATTGACCATTCAGATTTGTACACACACATAAAAATGTGTAGTTACGATTTTTTAGATATGTGTATGTATCTGAAAATTTATGTACCGTTAAGATTTTGCATTTTTTTATTTCTCTACAAGCTAATCAACAACTCTCTTCTTCTTCTACTTTCAGCGGGCAGCGCACGTAACTCAGCACCACTGCGCGTACGCGGTAGGCTCAATACTGGTGCGGCTGAAAAATCCTTCCTCGAGCCATTGCGCATAAATAGACTGCAGCTGCTGGAGCGTGATCAACAAATATCCGACAATGTTGTCTCCTCATCGACCCCAACAGGATTGAAATTGATGCGCGCCATCACAGCCGAACAAATGGATCTCGACGATGACATCACCGACGAAGAAGACTGCGAAGTACATTCCATAACAAGTGGGGCGCAATGCTATAATAGACACAACAACAACAACACCAGCAGCCACAACATTAAAACAGTATTCACAGCACCCACGCTGCATGACAAACAATCACTGCCACCCAAAACAGCAACAACAACAACAACAACAACGACCTTTGCGAACAATCAGCATAGCCAGAAACATTACCAGCAGCAATATTACGCCGCTAGTGATGACGACGAACATGATTCAAGCATATGTGAGATTAAAAATACCGAAGGCTTATTGGCAATCGCACTAAAAACCATCAAACTGGTGAAACGTAATCAAATGTTGCAACGCCGTTTGGCGCAGCTGCAGCTGGAAACTTCCGAATTCATACAATCAGTGTTGGCAAATCCAGAGAATCGTCACTTTCGCAACAAAATGCAAAAGCCTTCATCGCCATCGGTCACGTCTGCCACATCGCCCAGTGTAACGCCTTTGCAGGCGTTGCAATCACCAACAGCGACGACGGCTGACAATTGAGCGTAGTAGATTTCTCATAGAAAATACATATGTACATCCAGCTATGCATTTGCATGGTTCCGGCGATATGTTGCTGTTGGCGTGCTTCAAAGCGCTTTTTAGCAACATGTTCCTCACTAATAATAATGTTGCGATGCACAAATCAGCTATTAAACACATATATACAAGCGCTTATAGTACACACAAGCAAGCGCACGCGCGCCTGTCTCACCGATGTGCTTTCTGCGTAGCTTTTGTTAAGCCAGCAGTTGCGGGTTGTTTTGTTGCATACTTGTAGGCGCATCGCGATTTCACCTCAAATTGTGATAAACAAAAAAAAAAAGTAAATAAATAAATCGAAGCATAACACAGCGTTGCCGCTTTACTAAAATACTTAGCTGCTAGTAATCAACTCCACTTATCTACAAACTTCATACATACATACATACATACATATGTCTACCCTCTACTACTAAGAATTAACTATGTATAGATATTTATTCAATTATGTACGTTCATAATGTTAGAAAACATACAAAATACAGCTAAAAATACTATTCAAACACCAAAATATCTAGTCACAACTGGTATTCTCTCACAAATGATGCTTAAGCGCATGAGTGTAAGCTTAAAAGCACGGTTAGTCTAGACTTAATATAAGTTAACTTAACTTAGCTTAACTTCTACGGAGGGTTCATACGGTCCACTTGATGAGTAGTGCTCTTCTGCAACGTCTGTAAAAAATAAAGCTTAACTTAACTTAACGCAACCTAACTTAACTTAACTTAACCTAATTTGACTTAACTTAACGTAACAAATTGTCAATAATTTCTCAGCACGCCAACCAAAGTCAGTCAGATGCGAGAATATTTTATGTTTATAATTTCTTTTTCAGCTGTTTGACAGCTCACCACGTTCAAGTTCCCTAATGCAGTAACTTAAGAATTTAAAATTTGCAGGTTCTTAAGGTCTGATAATGGCAACTTAATGAAAGCTACACTTAAAAATTATCCTAAATGGATGCTGCTTATATTTGGACAGGCGAAACTTAACGTAGCTTAATGCAACACCAAAGTCTGTTTCATTTTGATTTTCTAAATTCTAAGTTACGTAAAGTAAAGTTAAGTAAATTAAGTCAAGGCTAACTGAGCTTTAACGCGGGCTGGGAGAGGCGGAAAAGTGAGAGCGTGAGCGCTACAAAACACTTTCTATATAGCAAAATTTTAGGCATTGTAGTGATCTCAATAAATTATCTGAAAGTACTGAATTTAATCCAAATAGTTATATCACTTGCGCTATTCTCTGTAGGAAAAATAAAATGCTTTTGTAGATCAAGCCAACTCATCAAATATATAAATAGATAATTTTACGAAACTTCGCAACGTTAAGCCAAAAAAAAAAACTGCTATGTGAAGTCGAAAATGCTTTTCAAAAATAGAAAAACTTACAATTTTCTAACAAAAATGCTAGTGAAACTTCGGCTTTAACGAAACTTGGATTTGCTTGCATTTTTGCTTTGCACACACTTTTCCACTAAATAAATGCATTTCGCCTTTTTTACTGCTGCACCCAAAAATAAATGCCAAATTTTTGTAGATTGAATTGCTTAGCTTTGAATTTAAAAAGCTTTTAGTATGCTTGTAGGGTTTATTGCTAGGGTGCAACTTTCGCAATTATGAAATTCGTATTTTATATAGTCTTCGACATGAAAAGATTTACAAATATGAGGGTAGTTTGATAAGTCAGCTCTTTTAACAAAAAGCACATGAGCATCTTTCAAATGGAGATGTATTCAATTTTGCGCGCCTTGTGCCAGCAGTCGCAATGGCCGAGTGAGCAAAGCATTTGCGTGTAATTCGAGAGACCCTAAAATCGAATTCTCGGTCTGCCGAATTGTCTCCGATTTTTTTAGTTTTGTTTTTCTTTAAATTCGATTTTTTCTTTTTTAATCTAATTTTTTTTAAATTTTTAGATTTTATTGTTATATATATAATTCGATAAATTTTTAGAAATATGATTGTACTTTTTTTCTTTTTTAATTTAAATTTCCTTAAAATTTTAGATTTTATTCAGGAGCAGCGTTGAATTTAATGTTATTTACTACGCGAAAAAAATCAAAAAATTCACTGAGTTATCAAAGTGCCCTCGTACTATTTAGTATGTAGGCATATGAATGATGAGTTTAATTTTAATTACTACATACAAATTGTACTGATTGGTAACTAAAAGTTTAACATTGATTTTTTATAGTATAATAAGTAATAAAAAGGTGGAGTAGGAAAAAACTTAAGAATTTGTAAGTAATGCAGTAAATTCATATTTTATGTAAAATTTTTGTATTTAAGTTTTTAGTTGTATGTATTGATATACATATTTGCACACATAATTTGTGAAGGAATAATTTAGTGTTTGATTTCGAATAATACAAAATTTTTAAACTGCATAAAAATATGTGGCAAGAAAATTGTGTTTAAAGTACATATGCAATGTAAGTTATTTTAATGAAAACAAAAAAATTTTTCTTTTTTTAAATTTCAATAAAATATTCTACTGAAAAGTAATGCGATTTTTGGGATAGTAAAATAACGTTTAAAACCAAACAAATAAAATTTTTTTAATTAAAAATTTTTTAATGGAAACGTGGTAAAGCAAATTTTTTTCTATTATACATATGTACATACATATTTCAAATGTCTCACTATTGAGCATGAAATATACATTTTTTTTCAAAAATTTTTTTATAAGCATTTCAAAGTAAGCGATCAATAAATAAAATATTTTTACTTGAAAATCCTAAATTAAATAAAAAAAAGTTATGTTTTCATAAAATTTTTGAATTGAAAATTAAACATTGTTTTTTGTTCGTTTAAATTTTGTCTGTTTGAATTCCAAAAATATTAAAGTGGCTTTTTAGTTCTAAATCTTAAAAATTTTAATATTTCATAAACAAAACCGAGAAATCTTTTATCTAAAAGTTTAGAAGTTGGAATCCACAATTCAACTGCTTCTTAATTTTTAACCGACTTCACAAAAAGGAATATTTTTATTTTTGTTGGTTTGTTACCGCATAACTTTGGTTAAAATTACGAATTTTTTTTGATCGTTTCAAAATTTATTTAAGTAAAAGTGAAGTATGCATATTTAAATTTGTTCTTTTATTGATCACACTTCCATTACAGAATTTTTAAAATCGTGTTAATATCGAATTGGCGTAGGTTTATTTAGTATTGAAATTTAAAGAAATTAAAAAAAATCGATATTTTTCGAAAACATAATTTTTTGTCAGCAATTTGAGTTTACAGTTTGCTACAAAAGAGCAAACATAAATACTTGGTAATTCATTCGAAATGAAGATCATTAAAAAATAGATTCCAAAAAACAAAATTTGGATTTTCTTAATGACAAATGAAGGCGATATTGATTATATTTTGAAATTAATACGAAAAATACAATATAACATACCGAAAGATGTAAATTATGTTTAAGCCTTGTTGGAAAATGCTCGCTGAGCTCAAAAATAAAGTGAGGTTAAGATTAGAAAAAAATGATTTCAAAAAACTAAGTTTCATTAGTGCTTGGAAAAGCAGAAAATCTGTAGTTTTACATTTTAGGTTTAAATTTTTTTAACATAAAATTTTTGAGTAAAGAAAGTTTATTGAAATTATGTTTTAGGGAAATATATAAATTTATTTATTGAAGGTACTTTTAATCGGCAAAAATTTAGTATGAAAGAAAAAATAAAATTTTCAAAGCAAATCTTTTTAAATAAAATAGTATTCGCATTATTTGTATATATTCAATAAATTATTTAATTAAAAATTATTCAACCAAATTCAAAATAATTAAATTTTTATTCAGTAGTAGTATTTTTTAATGAAATATATTGATTTTCAAAATGACGCTAAAATTCAAGTACTTGTAAACAATATTTAAAATTCACACCCAGTAAATTAAAAAATCCCAATTAAGAAAATTTGGGTTTAAGTTAGATATGAAAACTTTTAATTTTAAAAATATAATTTATAAATTATAAATTTTTTAGATAATTACGCACTAAAAATAAAAAAAATGTTTTTTACAGGTATACAAATTTTCACTTTTTTGTATATGCAAAACAATTTTTTTGGTTATTTCTTTCAAACATTTTTCATTAAAAAAAAGGCTCGGGGCCCAATTAAAATTACAAATATATAAACAATTTTTTAATTTTTCCGGAATTTGAATTGAAAATACATAGTACATACATATTCTTCAATAAATTTTGGAATTTTTTGACTTCAAGGTCAACATAAAATTCTTGTAAGACTTTACTTTAAAATAGTTTTAAACTTTTCAGACTAAACAATTTTACGTTTGTTTTTCTCTAAAAATTTTTTTTTTCTTAGATTTTTTTGAAAAGCAATAATTTTTAAAAAACTTTAATAATTTCGGTTTTTAAACCTTTTATTCTAGGACAGTTTTCAATTATTCAAATTGTTCAATTTCTTTGATTTTTTTTTAAAGCAATCACTTTTAGAATTTTTTTTTGCTCTTAATATTCAATATTTTCAGTTTATAAACTTTTTCAAACTGTAACTTAATTAAATTTTTGCCCTGGGAAAAAAGAATTTATTCAAGCACGCGAAGGTATTCCAACAGGGTTTGTTTAAAACTAAAATTATGTTCAATGACAAAAAAACGAAACAGAGAGTATAAATGTTCTTTTCAGTTTTGTATAACTTGAATTGAAATACCTTTTTTTTTGTTAAAAATGTTCAAAACTTTTTATAAACAAATGATTTCATTACGTTGCATGGATAAGAAATTAATTATTTGCTAAATATAACTCCTTTGGCCAATTTGAAATAAATAAAAATTACATTAAAATAGAAAATAGATATACAAATTTTTTGTCGGTAAAAGATACTTCCTAGTTAAGCTAATTGCAATTAAAAAACCTTTTTATAAACCAAAATAAAATTAATTTTGCGACACGCTATAAAAGAAATCGCTTAATAATCTACTACATTTATGATAATCACATATATTTTAATAAGAAATTATATAAAACTATTTGTTATTGCCACAAAAGCCAAATTGAGAAGATGTAAAGTTTTGAAACTAATTGGCATTTTTATATTTAAATAATATGTGTATAACGTATGAATAATTTTCATATATAACTTATTTTCGTATAAATATAACTTTTGATAAAAACCTTACATTAA